AAAATATGGCTCACACAGATAGGGTTATTTGGGAAATTTTCCAACTAGTCAATATTTTTTATTAAATTAAAATCATTTCCGTAAGCACATGTTTGGTTGCATTTTTAATCAGATTTTCAGTAAAAATTTGATAGTTTAAAATTTCTAATTCAATTAAGAAAAATGAAAATAATATAATGGGTAGACTAATTGATGAATTTTATGAGATGAACAAAAAGAATAAAAAAATTGTCCGACTTCGAGCGGTTAGTCGGTTCAGCTCCTATTATTCATTAAAAAAAAGTATAGACTAATGAAATAATAAAGAACTTGATGATAAAAACATCATGAATTAAATATATCAAGAAAAAAATACATATGATTTTTAACATTATTAATCTTTTCGGGTGAAAGCTATTATTACAAGTGTACAAAATTGTACATAAGTTAGAGAACTTACAAAGGGTGAACATGAAGGATGAGGAATTAAGTCCATGTTTGGTCCTCATTAAAATTATAATTCTTTTTTTTTTTCTCTTCTTATCAACCACAAATTTTTCAATAAAGCCCATGTTTGATTCCCATTTTGGGGGTAAAATATATTATGGAATGTGATTTTTTGAAGAACGTGTGGTTAAAAAGTAAGGAATTTTCTTTTGAAATACGCGTATAATTATTTTATGAAAGAATACGTGGTTGAAAATGACTTTTGAAAAAATGCATTCCGAAGAAAATGGGGCTCAAACATGGGCAAAATAATATTACACGTAACCACAAAACTTTTCCTACTTTTTAACCGTAAATTAAAAAAAAAAAACACTATTCCAACATTAAAATTTACGAACTAAATATTTTATTGTGTAATTGTATTAATAAGCCTCCGTTTGTTTCTAATTTTTTATCCATNCAAACGAGATCCAAGGATGATTAAAGCAAAGATAATTAAACCCCCGTTTGACAACTATTATAAAGAGAATTGAAATAAAGAAATGTTTTAAGAATATGTTGCTAAAAAGTAGAAAAGAATTTGAATTTACGTGCAAAATATTTTATTGTGTAAATGTGTTATTAAAATGAGTACAAAAACTAAAGAGTTTTATTTTAGTAGGATTCAAACATGGGCTAAATAAAAGCTGAAAGATCAAATAACTTAAAAAAGAAATGGCACATATGAAAAATAGATATAAAACGAAGGGTCAGCCTAAAAACGATAAAAATGGAAATAAAAAGTCATGAATGTATTAAAAACCTTTTTACGCTTTGAATAATATTCTACCCCGTCTATAGTCAAGATAACTACTATCTATAACGTCATATTAGCGTCAATTTTTAGCATTCACCTATGATTGAGACATTAACGAGACAAAATGGAGGAGTAAAAAGTTTGAATAGTCACTGAACTTATCACTTTGTCACGTTGTGGTCACTGAACTTCATTTAGCCTCTCACCGGTCACTGAACTTAGGAACCAACCCCTCCATCCATCACCCATCATCCCCATCGTTTCAACCCGTCTGATGTGGCTTCACGGTCGCTGACATGGCAGTCGACGGCGTCAATGACGCCCACGTAGGACGCGATTTCAGCAGGGCCGCAGGCTGTAAAAACGCCATTTCTCCCCAAATCGAAATCCTTCAACACCCTCCCCCAAATCGAAACGCCCTAGACCGATTGCCCCTCAACTCCTTCCCCCAAATCGATTCCCCAAGGCGACGAAGATTTCTCCCTAATTCGAAATCCCTTCCAATCCGAAAACACCACCTGAAGCGCCATTAAATTCCTCCAAAATCGCCCCACCTGGAATCATCTGAGTGATTGAGCTTTTTGGGTAGCAATTAAGAGCTTGACTGAGGAAGGGTTGCAATGGAATGGAGAAAAGGTGGGGCCAGTAATGGAGGAATTTATACCAATGAAGAGTGATTCAGAAGAACATGAAGGGGCAGAAAGTTCAAATGATTGGAGTGAAAAGAAGAATTGGATGAGTTCATTTCAACTCTGGAGCACACCTCGAGAATAAATTTGATTCCAAAAATCAAGAATCTGAATTGAACCCAAAATCAGTAAGATTTTAAAAGTAATTTACCAAATTTTCTTCTTTTCTCCCAAGAAATCTCCGTTGAATGTGATTTTTGGTTGCAGAGATGCCAAGGAGAGGATGGGATTTTGTATAATCTGAATAAACCAGTGAAGGAAGAGAAAGGACTTATCCCAGTTGAAGCGCTCTTACTGTCAATTCCTGTGGCTAAAGTGGGATCATTTCATTTGAGTTCGAAAGTGAATTTTGGTCATGGGAGGTCTCAACTGCAACAGAGGAAACAGAGACACTGTTGGTCTCCAGACTTGCACAAGAGTTCTGTCAATGCTCTTCATTAGCTTGGTGGAAACACCACCTGTTGTACATTTGTTCCAAACATGTAAGGGAATTGTTCTGTGAATATGTTCGAAATGTGAGGAGTTGAAGCTTCTAATGAACTTCTGTGAATTTGTTGTATTTTGTGTACATGTGTTGGCCTTCGGTGGAGTAGACCGAGTAGTTGAATTTGCTTGTAATGAAGCTTTATGTATGTAAACATTGTATCAATGCTCTTCATCAGCTTGGTGGAAACACCACCTGTTGTACATTTGTTCCAAACATGTAAGGGAAACGTTCTGTGAATATGTTCGAAACATGAGGAGTTGAAGCTTCTAATGAACTTCTGTGAATTTGTTGTACATTTGTAGTACATGTGTTGGCCTTCGGTGGACTAGATCGAGTAGTTGAATTTGCTTGTAATGAAGCTTTTATGTATGTAAACATTGTATCAAATGTGGTGTTGGATTTACTTGATTTTAGTTGATGTAACATGCATATCTTACCACCTCCTGATAATAACAGTTGGCACAACGGAACAACTGTACAAATATAAAAGCATTGGAAAAACCATCCTGAATGCATATTCAACAACATTTCATTAGTGCATTACAAAATCAATCATTTTTTGATCTCTTATTTAAAGAAAAAGATCTTGACAGGAGCTTAAAATGTCTTCACAATCACTGCTCTTAATCCATTAAGCAAATTCAAAATCAGATTTTGCGCAACAAAAGTCTTTGAAACACAATGGTTCACAATGGTCATCACTATGAAACACAAAAACAACCATAAACTATACATCCCTGATTCACAATGGTCATCACTATGAAACACAAAAACTATCATAAACTATACATCCCTTTCAGTTCATCAATAGCTTTGATAATGGCAAAAAACCTTCATTTTCTTCATTAAGGATCTGCCCGTGAAATGGCTGCTAGGCCGGCTGCAAGCCCACTTATGTGAGCATATTTAGAATCATTTTCTCTCTGTCATCAAGCAATGTTTTGTTGAAAACTTCACATCCGTTGTTCAGTAAAATGTTACACTTGGAATGCACTAGAAAATGTGATCGACTCCACTCCCGAGGGTGCCTCTTTGTCAGCCATGTATATCCATATTCACTTACATCACGAACCAACCTCTTCGTCCGATGAACAATCCAATAATAACTCCTCATATGATGGATACTCCAAGTCATCAACTCTGTTATTGTCTTCCACATCCCTTACTCCGTCGTGTCCAGCTTCATTCATATCCAATCCAATTTTGACGCCATCTGTCACATTGCAATCATGCAAATGAAAACAGTCGAGTTGTTTAACAATTGGTTTACAAATTTAAAACAAAAAAACTTCAATACTCTAGAAACCATAAACCATATTGCAATACACATACTAAACCATAAATACACAAACTGGAGTTGGGTATCACATATACAATTCTGATTTAAACACATAATGATACGTGGTTGGTGCAGGCTGCATTAAAAAAAACAAAGATGTTCAGTGTTTTAGAACATAAAAACCATGGTTTGAGAGATAGAGAGAAGTAATGTCCAATAAAAACTCACAACTATCACTTCAATTAGCATACTAATTTAAAATTCGTCCAGCATACATATAGCTTTCATGAATGTATAGCCACTGGTTCCAAAAACACCAATGTATTGAATGCATCCAGTAATTTTTTACGGCATATAAAATTATAAATCTTACAAAAGGTGGACTTTACCTCCATGTGCTCCCTCCATGTGTGCAAACTGAAAACTCCTTCAGATGTGCTGCTGTGTACACCGTTCAAGTGATGATTTATGTGGCCGAGATAGCTGATTTCCTCCTTCGCGTTTCGGTGATTTAGGTTATGGGATATGAGGCAGGATGGAGGGATGGTAGATCAGGGATTCGAAATCATCTGATGTAGGGATTTTGAAAATTTGAAGAGGAGAAATTTGGGCAAATCAAATTCTCCAATTTAGGGTTCTTCCATTTTGGGTGGGAGTGAATTAATCGAAATGGTAGGGGAGAGGTGTTCTGATTTTCAGGAACGCTTCGTGGCAAGAGACGACGGCGTTAATTGACACGGGTGATTCTGTCTAGCCAGATTAGCAGCCATTCAAACGGTGATTGGGAGAGTGATGGATGGAGTGATTTTACTGTAAGTTCAGTGACTATTCATAAGCATATCAAAGTTGGTGAGTATAACATGACGGTATGTAAAGTTGAGTGACTAATGAAACTTTTTACTCCAAAATGGAGTAACCAATATTGCAAGCAAATAAAATTTAAATAATTTAATTGCAATAAATTAAAGTTCAGCGACCAGAAATGAAATTAACCCTTATTTACCACTTCTCTTTCCCATTCAAAAAAAGGCACTAAACTATCAAATTCTCGGCTACTCTTCCCTCCAATTGCGATTCTTCAACATGATCATAAAACCACAGCGGCATTTCATCAAACATCTTGTCACAAGTAGTAAGTTCCTCTTTTTACTCTCTTCTTACAAGCCAAAACTGTGCTATTCTTCATTCACACCATTATCGCCGGAACCTGTTAAAACAAGAATCAGAAACCCAAATCAATTCTACCCTTCATTGTTCTGCACGCTCATCCATCTCTTCCTCCGATGTGACCAACTTTCGAGAGCCATCTCAGCTTTTTCAGCCATGCGAGATTACAATTTTATGCCGGAACTTCCCTCCTGGAACCGCCTCTTGCACCACTTCAACAGCTCTGGATTGGTTCAACAGGTAATGCTCATTTATCAAGAAATGATCTCTTGTGGTGTGAGCCCCAATGTGGCCACCAAGAATATAGTAGTTCATGCTCTGTGTAAAGTAGGAAATATTGAAAGGGCTCTTGAATTATTGAGAAATAATGAACATTTTAGATTTGAGAGTGATGGGGTCACTTATAATACTGTGATATGGGGTTTTTCTAAACACGGGTTTGTGGAAGCGGGACTTGGGATTGTCTCTCAGATGGTCAAGAGGGGCGTGAATACTGATAATTTTACTTGTAATATACTGATGAAGGGATATTGTGAAAAAGGTATGCTGGAAAATGCTAAATATGTTATGGAAATGTTTAATGATGACATAGAGGTTGATAATAAAATCTCTATAGATGTTGTGGGTTTTAATATTTTGATACATGGGTATTGTAAGTCTGGTGAGGTTAGTGGCGGTCTTGAGTTGTTGAAGTGTATGACAGTAGCTGGTGTATTGCCTGATATTGTTACGTATAATACTTTGATTGATGGGTTCTGTGAAATGGGGGATTTTGAGAGTGCCAAGAGTCTAATGAATGAGCTCTTGGAGCATAACATTTCCAAAGGTGATGATGAGGAAAAAGAAGTCTCTGTAGTTGTGGAATCAGGTTTGACAGCAAACCATATTACGTACACTAATTTAATTAGTGGATATTGTAAGCAACGTAGGATTGAGGAAGCTTTGGGTACATTTGATGAAATGAATAGGAACGGGGTTGATGCCGATGTAGTTACATTTAGTTCTATTATAAATGGCCTTTGTAAGACTGGAAAATTTGCTGAAGCTAGATCACTTTTCTGGGGGATGTTAGAGCTGGGTGTGGATCCAAATCGCGTTACCTACTCTATCTTCATTGATTATCTTTTTAAAATTGGGAACATAATGGCTGCATTTAGCCTGTTGACTCAAATGGTGGTTCGTGGAATGTCCTTTGACTTGGTGGTCTTTACCACTTTGATTGATGGTCTCTTTAAGGTTGGAAGGGCAGATGATGCTGAAGATATGTATAGGATTCTTTTGGAGGCTAATTTAGTTCCAAGTCACATAACTTATTCTGCTTTGATTGATGGGCATTGTAAAATAGGTGACATGAAGGGTGCTGAGTTTGTTCTGCAGCAAATGGAGCAGAGAAATGTTCTTCCAAATGTCATTACTTATTCCTCTTTAATTAACGGCTACATGAAAAGTGGTATGCTTGATGCAGCTGTTAATACCATGAGGAACATGGTTTGTAAAAATGTCTTGCCTAACTTTTTTACCTATGGTGCCCTTATAGATGGCTCTTTAAAAGCTGGTAAACAGGAAATCGCTCAAGATCTCTATGAAGACATGAAATACAGAGGGGTGGAGGAGAACAACTTTATATTGGATGCTTTCGTGAATAATTTGAAAAGGAAAGGAAGTATGGATGAAGCTGAGGCATTGTTTAGAGATTTCATGTCAAGGGGGCTGTCAATTGACCGTGTCAATTACACGACCCTGATGGATGGACTGTTTAAAGCAGGAAAAGATTCATCAGCTCTTGAATGTGCCCAGGAGATCACAGAGAAAAAATTAGGGTTTGATGTTATTGCATACAATGTTTTGCTTAATGGATTGCTTGGGCTTGGTCATTATGAATTGCAATCTGTTTATATTGGAATGCAAAGATTCGGTTTAGCTCCAGATCTTGCCACATTTAATACCATGATCAAAGCATATTGTAGAGATGGAAAATTGGAAAATGCTCTTCAGCTCCTTGATGAGATGAAAAGTCATGGATTAATGCCTAATTCAATTACTTCTAATATCATGGTGGGAGGGCTTTGTAAGTCAGGTGAAGTAGATAAAGCAATGGATTTGTTGAATGCGATGTCTCATGCGGGTCTGCGTCCTACCTCAATTACTCACAAACTCCTACTTAGCGCTGCATCAGAGAGTAAAAGGGCCGACACAATCCTGACGATGCATGAGCGGCTGGTAAGGATGGGTCTTAATCTCAATCAGACAACTTATAACACTCTCATCAGTATCTTGTGCAGGCTAGGGATGACTGCAAAAGCAATGTCAGTATTAGAAGAAATGGTAGGAGTAGGCTTTCAAGTTGACACTATCACTTACAATGCTCTTATACGTGGATATTGCAAAAGCTTTCATCTAAAGAAGGCTTTTGGGATGTATTCTGAGATGATACTTAAAGAAGTTTGTCCAGATATTACGACGTATAATACTCTTCTAGGGGGACTTGCATCATCTGGGTCAATGCATGAGGTAGATGAGTTCCTTGATGAAATAAAAGCAAAAGGCTTCGTCCCAAATGCTACAACTTATGACATACTAGTTTCTGGCCATGGGAAGATTGGAAACAAGAAGGAATCTATAAGGTTGTATTGTGAAATGATAACCAAAGGTTTTGTTCCTCGAACTAGCACTTACAACTTACTTATCAGAGATTTTGCGAAAGTGGGGAAGATGATTCAAGCTATGGAGCTGATGAATGAGATGAAAGTTAGAGGGGTGATCCCTAATTCCTCAACCTATGACATTCTTATAAGTGGATGGTGCCAAGTATCAAATCAAATAAAGCTTGAAAAGTCAGTAAAAAATTCATACCAAGCAGAAGCAAGAAGGTTGTTTAAAGAGATGAGCGATAAAGGCTTTACTCCAAGTGAAACTACTATTTATAGTCTCAGTTCCGTCCTTGCAAAACCAGGAAAAGAGGTTGATGCTCAAAGGGTGTTAGAGAAATTATACAAACGAAAAAGAAGTTAACAGCTGAAGGATAGATAATTTCCAGGGAAGGAAAACCAGCAAAATGAGGGAAAACTGAAAAGCTTTTTGAGAAAAGATACCAGATTCCATGGAGCAGACAATCCGAGCTTTAAGAAAGGCAAATTTCTCTTGCATGAAAGTAAGTCATCATGCTGAATCTTGTGTTTTTGCATGTGTTATTACCTACAGGCTACAGGTTTGTTTTTATAGTTTTTTTTTCTTTTCTTTTTTCTTCTGTAAGGCTGAACGGGTGGTTTAATATTTTAATTGTAAAATCAATATCTTAAAACGTGGAATATATGGACATTTATATATAGCAAATATTATTCTATTTCTGCTTTGCATGAGTAGGCTATTGACATCTTTGTTAAGAGAACCTGAAAATAATGACCTGATATTTGCCCTCTTTTATCTCATTTGTGATAATGCTATTGCAGGATGATGAAGTCTCAACTTGACTTTCCCATTCTCCATAGGATTTTTCCTTGTAAATATATAGGACCACTGTTGTCAAATTTTTTAGACTTAGATTTTGATATTTTAGTTGATTGATCTTGTAACTTTTCCTTGATTTCATGCATCATCTGAAATTTTGAATGTAGATATTTGGTGGACATTGCCCGAGGGGTCGCTGGACTACATGCAACTGGAGTTTTTTGCATGAGATTAAACCATCCTTGGATGCAAATGGTCATGCTATGGTTTCTGATTATGGGCTTCCAGCAATTCTAGAGAATTTTGATTTCAAAAGCTCGAATAGAATGTGAATCCTCCAAAAATTCATTCATGTATGGATTGCACAATGCTTATCCCAAATTACACTGCCCTAGAGGCGTAGAACCAGTAAAAGGGTAGCTGAATCTTTGGCACATCTCTGGAGTCTGAAGCCTGGAGCTTTGGTTGCATATTGGTAGAAGTGTGCACTGGTTCTCCCCCTTGTGTGAATTTATGTCATAAATTGTCCCAGTTAACTTTGTTGTTTCGTTAAGTAGTGTAATTGCTCAAAAATTGTCTTTTCTTTTCTTTTAAACAGCTTGTCTGGTTTAATTGCTGAGGAAATTTTTCAGTTTGATGTCAAAGCTCGACGACAACCTCCTAATTATGCAAGTGTAGTAGGTGTGGGAATGCCAAGGGATTGTGGAAGATAATTGGTGACTGCCTCCAGTTCAGGGCGTCCAAAATACCAACTCTAAATTCAATGTTGGTGGTTTCTTCGCCAATTACAAGAATTTTCTCAAAGCCCTTCTGCAAACCCTGATGAGTAAGATGCTAATTTGATGTATTTTCAGTTCGTCACCTTCTGATATTTTTGTGTGTAAAATCCACCTGTGCCTAGGTGGGGGGTTATTGAACCCCATAAGAAGACATCCACCGCGCACCTTGTGTCAGGCATCTCATGAGTAGATGCACTCAGTCGTCTAGTTGCTGCTCTCATCAGCAGAATGTAGAAACTTCCAGCCAAACTCCCGTGTCTCTACTCCTTCAGCTGGTGACTGCAATCCTCGGCCAGAACGTGGCCACCCACTCCCCAGCACGCCTAAGCTTGTATCATTAGTCAGTGGCTTCATTCCTCATTGTGTGAGCATGCTTTTGGTTGTAATGGAGTTGATGAACTCGAGGTAATTGACCTGTATTTTAGCATACATGAGAACTTTGTTAATAATTGATCCTAGAAGTATTAGGGTGCGTGCGTTTTAATTGGGTTTTCAAATGGAGTTGTTCTACATGTATGGTGAACCCCCACAGACAACTCAGGGACCCACCTCAATAAAATAAAAAAATTACCGACCCCCCCTCCCTCCCCCTCAATGTGAGTTGTCGGTGGGGGTTCTCTACTGTACATACATAACAACTCTTTCAAATAATTGTTTTTGTTTTTTTTTTGTATGTTTTGTATTTATTTGTACGTATATGTATATTCATTCAACAAAGTAGTATCTAAATTATCCATCCTTGTATGTGATGAAATTTCCATGCTAGCATTAATGTTACTCAATTTTCTGTGTATGAAGATCAACAATTTTGGATGACAATAGAGAAGTAGAAGGGCGTGGACAAAAGTAAATGTTGGGGCATAAATGCAAAAAAGGATAAAGATTGAGCACTGAAGCTTTCGCTGTTTTTTAGGCCGAATAATTTGGTCCTTGAATCCCTCCAACTCGATTAGCACAAAACCCGAAGGCCAAGTTTTCTATTTCTATTCTCTTAAAAGCCTCGCTTTCATCTCCACTCTCTCTCTTCATCCTCTTCCTCATGGCCCAAGAAGCAGCAAAAAATCATCTCCGAGACATCAAAAACAAGGTAAAATATGTTTACTCAATGAACTATAATCCCTTTTCACTACTGCCTCTAGCTTCGTTTTGATTCTAATATACCTCTGGCTTGCAGACTTGGATCCTCAAAACTTCTATTCACTGTGAAGGCTGCAAAAGAAAAGTAAAGAAAATCCTCAATCAAGTTCAAGGTACTTTTCTAACAACCTCCATCATTTTTTTCTCGATTCTGATTGTTAACCATCTCGTCTTTAACACTGTTTTAACTTGTGTAGGTGTTGAAAATGTAGAAGTTGATATTAAGCAACAAAAGGTAATAGTAACTGGCAACGTCGAGGGAGATTCTTTGATCAATAAACTGACAAAGTCTGGTAAGAAAGCAGAATTATGTGAAAAAACTGAGAAAAAAGAGAAAAATTCAGGGCAAGGAAGAAACAAAGAGAAACAGATTAAAAGACAAAGCAATGAACAAAAAATCCAGGAAAATGGTGCTGAAAAAGAGCAGAAGCCAGCTGTGAACGTCCAAGCGGTTCAAGATCCTGCTAAAATAAGTGATGGAGGTGCTTCAACGAGTGGTTCTGCATCCAAGAGAGGTGGCGCAGCTGAAGTCGACGGCGGTGAAGTGAAAAGGAATGAAGCAAGTGATGCCGGTAGTTCAGCTAAAGATACAGGTCCGGTAAAAACAAATGACAGCAATCAAGTGGCCGAGTCAAAATCAGAGGAGAAGAAGCCGGAGAGAAACTCAGCCGGTGAACCGCTGCTTCCGGCGGAGGATAGTGAAAGTAAAAGTGGCGTAGCTTCTGAGAAAAGTAAAGGTGGCAGTGTTAGCGGCGGTGAGAATGGCGCTTCTGGTAAAAAGAAGAAAAAGCAAGGGCAAAATGGGAATAATAATGAGCGCGCGAAAACGAGTGTTGCTACACCGGCACGCACAGGATCAGAGAAGCATGATGTGGGCCCACCTCCAATCTGTTTTCCAGCTAATCATATTCCTCCACGTCAGCATAATTATCATCACTACCCACACCCACTCCATAACTGCGAGCCCCCACCCGTGTCCGCCGTGAGCTACAATACGGCGTATCCTACTAGTAGCTATACGGCATCGTATTATGCAGCCCCACCACCACATTCATACGCCTATTCGTATCCGGGGCAAGATATCGAGCCGCCGCCACCACCCTCCGATCCCGCTTCATACCCTCGACAGCCGTTGGATTCATTCGAAATGTTTAGCGAAGAAAATACGAAAGGTTGCTTTATCATGTGATGGACCTTTGGCACTCTTAA